AAAAAAAAAAAAAAAAAAAGGCAGCAATGAAGGAAGTGGCATGCAGAGGAGCAAAGAGAAGCAGGGGGCTCAGGGAAAAACCTACAATGGGATGCCTGGGGGATTTCTTGGCTCAGGGGGCTCTGCTGTAAGGGCTGGGCAATATTCTGTTTTGCTTCAAGAGTGCTCGCTCACACCCATTTGAAATTCCTCTCTTCAACCCTCCCCACACGTCTGGTGCTAGAACGTCCGTGACTTCAGAGCTGTCCCCCCCTCCCCGTCCCCAAACAGAAAAGCAGCGTCAGGAAAGGCTCTTCTTACCCGTCTACTTTCCCTTTTGTGCCATCCAAGACTTCAACTTCGCTTTCATCAGCAAGACACCAGTTCACCGAAGACTCCTTCATCTTGCCCATCTGTCTCCCTGAGTCGTAGACGCTGACTCGCCCGACCTGTGTGTGAGGGAGGAGGGTTCAGCTCATCCCAAACTCCCACGAGCAGCAAGAGCTGGGTTCTTAAAAAGCTGAAGCCTACAGGGGCAGGGACCTTGGCTTCCTTTTTCCCAGACTAAGGAACCCCTCAGACGCTGCGGGATGACACAAAGGGGCAGGTTTGCGGCCGTTAACCTCCCCGACCCTGCTGCAAAGCGCCTCAGCGAGGTGCTGGCCCCGGGGCAGAGGGGGACGAGGTGGGGATGATGCTGCCTGTACCTCAGGGTGGTTCACACGATACGGAGCCTGGAGCTTTTCCTGCAGCACGTTCCCGTCTCTTGCCACGCGGCAGCAGATCGCGCGCGTTAAGTGGCCCTGACTGTACAAGTAACCTGTGGAGACAGACAGGGAGGAATTAGGGAACAGGGGGTGGAGAGGCCAAACCCCGAAAATCAGAGTGTTTCTGACGAGCTCCACACAGCCGTGAGCTTTCTGCATCAGCTACGTGTACCCTGGATGTGTAAAATGAAGGTTTATAGACTGCGACGTTTCTCAGCGAAGACACAAAGTGGCAATTTCTGTCTCACCCTCCCAGATCACATGCGCCTTCTAAAAAATCAAGAACTTTGGAGAAAAACCCACTCCACCCACAGGGTAAAATCCACAAACTCCCTTTTCACTTCCAAACAGCGCAGCTCTGCCAAGAAAGACGTTTCACGTCTGTTACTCCCACAAGATTTTCCACCACTTGGGGAAGGGAGGTTTTGTCACCCAGTTCTAGGGAGCGGGACAGCACATCCAGCCCGGCCCAGCAGGTCTCGTACCGAGCGTAATGGAGCTGAGATAAACCGGTTCCATGAAGTGTGACAGCAACGCCCCTTGCAAGCCAAGTATATTCCAACGTAAGATTTTGTCGCTGCAGGACATGGTTCGTAACCTCTCCCCATGCTGGATCCCATCCCACGTGGGCACAATGTCACTCGACTCCACAGGAATGGTACCTTCCCCTGCACAGGAGAATAATAAAAAAAAAAAAAAAAAAAAAAAAAAAAAAAAGCTTTTCTGTAGAGGCAGATATTCAATAAAACCAAACCCCATCAGCCAACTGCACAAGAAATTTCTGTGCACAGGCGTGGCGTGACCTCTGGAGTCGGTCTGTCACCGGGTTCTGGGAATGTTTTAGTATCACAAGAAAAAAGGAACTCGGCACTGATTACAGAGGTGTCATTTTTAATGTGGCTGAAGCAGAATGAAATAGTGCTTGAAAGGGAGGTCACAGACATGGAAGCTTTGCAGCAAGTTTCAGCTGTGCTCTTGCAGTCAGGCAGAACTGGGAAGGAGAAGGGCCTCTCTCTAATCTCTCCACCCCTTTCACCCACCTCCTTTGCTTTCTGAACACTTCAAACCCCACAACAGCACCACACAGAAAGGGGGAAGGAAACTCTGGAGCTCCAGGACGGCTCAGAGGAGAGGGCTGGAGCCACCCCACCGTGCAGGGAGCGAACGCACTCACCATTCTCCACCTTGGTCCGCAGCTTGCCTTGCTTGGGGTTCTCAAAGAGAGGTTGATGCTGGGCTTGTCCCACCATGCTCGCCTGATCGCTGCAGGATTTATCAAAGAGCGCCCCGTCTCCACAAGGTGCTGTGCTAGAAAATAAATGCTGCCCAGGTTAGCACCGACTCCCAGAAAACAGCCAGGGCCAGGGGTGCGACAGCGGGACACCGCTCGCTCCCTGCACGGCTCCACACAAACCTGACATAGAGGTGAAAGGTAACACCACTCTTTATTTTGAGTCTCTTTTCTCCCGCTGGCTCAAAAATGCTCTCTTCTGCAGAGGAAGGATTAGACGGGTCATACTTCATCAGCTCACTGTAGAGAAACCTGAAAATAACAACGTCACATCAAAAGGGCTGCTCTGCTCCTCACGCAAGGAGCATTTCAGTACAACCACTGCTCGTGCCAGGCAGGGTCCCAAGCTCTGCCTCTGTCACACCAAGTCACCTGCTCCTGTCACAGAATCAGAGAATCATCCGGGTTGGAAAAGCCCCTGAAGCTCCTCCAGCCCAACCATGACCCTCCCCCTGATCCTTCCCAACTCCCCCAGA